ACGAATTCAGAATGCGTGGCGCATCTTCAAGTGCACCATCGAATACATTCTTTACCCCTGGGGACTGATAACCTTTCGGCATCTATCGAAATCCACATAACCCCACCATTTTCCGGTATAATTCAGGACGTAAGCTGCGAATGGGCACGGTGAGCTCAGTCAACTGACTGGTGTACTGTAAGGGTCCAAAGGTTCGATATCAGCCCTCTTTGCAGTGTTGCCATGCGATCCATCCCTCTGTCCAGAGTCCAAATCCCAGGGCTCGTCCCCTTGTGTCTGAAAAGCGCTGTCTCCACCCTTCTGCTTTTCAATTATCGATCTTTACAAACTTACTTGCTTGGTGTTTGGCCGGCAGTGCACTACGACTTTGTGGATTGATCGACTCGAATCAAAGTTCTTTTCTACCTGACGGCTCTGACTTCACATAACCGCCCACGGAGGGTGGAGAAGCCTGTGTGCTGATTCGACACTCCAGTAGTTGAACCCGGTTCTTAGTGCGCCCGAAGCGGTTCTTCTTTGTCAGTTGCCTGTTTCGATTCAAAGTGCTATTCTCACTTCTACTGCTAGAATAGCACATTCAGGGTCAAGATGGTGAGTACTTATGGTATTGGCGAAACTCTTTGACTTTAAACTGAAAAATAGGAAAAAATTCAATATTCTTAATGTAATATATCTTTTCGGGAGTTGCGCATGCATTTCGCTATACATTCAAGTTCGCGGACGCGGAGGAGTGGTTTTCGAGCTTATCCAACCAATTTCACTTCTTATCCTTTCATTTATGTTTTCATTGTTATGACGCTAACCATATCTATTGGAAAATTTCTCCTTTCTCGTCAGCGCTTTTTCCACGGGACCGCTTTTCTGACCACTGTTGTCTGACCTGGATGGGTGCCAACTCATTCCGGGTCCAAATGTAGCGCGCCAAATCAGCGCTGCTCAGCCGCTCGTCGTTCTCCATGCCAGTTTCAGGCGCATCGAGGACGACGCTGATCTTGCGAACTCTGTCACATTCGTTCATTTCGTCATTTTGCTCTAAAGACAAAAAGGCCAATGGGTTCAGCACCGAGAATCATGCCCTTCCACCCACCCACTCCCTACCCTTCTCCGACAAGTTGGTCCTGCCCTTTTGCGAGTTGCCACTTAATTTTGTTTCTGGAAATAAGCGGCGCGCCGACCGCGGTACCAACAATGATGATGCCCAAGCATCAAACCGTCAGAAGTTCTGCTGACTTTACAGGGCGACTCCAGCTAAGCCAAAAAGGTAAGCCAGAAAAGGACATTTGAATTTTCGAGGAAAAATTGGAATATTACTCAATATCCTGGAGCCTCTCCTTGCCTAAGACCCAGCCCCATTTATAACACAAAAGAGATATTCGACTCGGCTTCAAATTGCGTTGCCGCCGCTCTGTCCCTAGATCTTGCGATAGCACCGAAGAAACTAGCTAAATCAGTAGCTTGAAGCTCTTACCCGCACTTTAGGTATTCGTGAGGGCGATCCTGTTTAGTTTTACTTATTTCTGAAGCTCTATAGAAGCTTTTAGAACTTCGGAGGAGCATTTCGAGAAGAACTCATCACCTTCTGCTTTTTCTCCTTCATCCAGAAGTCGTTTTTCGTGGCCAGAAAAAAAAAGATTGTTAGACGCTGCCAAGTGGCAGGCGCTCGGTTTTTACATCATGCCGCTTAGGCGCAGTCCTCGCGCCTCTTCGCAACCAAATGACTACAGCCGCCTCGGAACAACCATTTCTTCAGTCACTCGGCTCATTTCTCTGACATTTTTTGAACCATCTGCTCATTTCTATGGCTTCGCTGAAATGCTCTTAGATCTAGCAGGAAAACATCAAGAAAATCATTCGCTTTTCACCTTCTCTATAAGGACCTGCTCCCAATGACGCCGTACTTTTCAGGAAAACCTACTGGTGACAGAACGAGGCATGGCTCAGCCGGTACACCTGCAGTACAACTCGCCAATGCCCATCTACTCGAAGTAAGTCAAGTCATCTTTGGGCTGGTTAGAGGATATCCAGATTGTCGCCCTCTTATCCTCTCTTATCCTTTGTTCCTCTTATCTCCCAGTTTTCCCAATTTTTCCACGCGTTTTTGGGTGAATAAACATAAATAACTAAATCAATAGGTAAACAGATCTGATCGAAAGAAGTAAGTAAACCGTCATCTTTGGATGATTAACAGGGTGACCAGATTGCCGTCTTCTTATCCTCCTTGACTTTTATTATGTCCCCAGTTTTTCCATTTTTCCGTTCTTGGCTACATAAACACAAATAAATAGGTAAATAGGTAAACAGATCTGACCAGGAATATCCTGCAAAGATTTGCTCGGCTTTACCTCTTTCTTCAGATAAATAACACCCATAAGGAATGTATTGTCAGAAGAACACTTTACTGGTTCTTCCTATAGCTATTGCTTGTTTCTTCAGTCTCTTTTTCCTTTGGCCGTCCATCTCTTCCTATCTCTCACTTTTCACGCTCTCTCAAATTTCTCTTTACACATCCCTGAACGATGATTGATCCTGAGCTTCACGAATGATGCCGCTCGTTTGAACGCTTTCACATCACAGCATTTGATGAGGAGATAAAAGCTTTCTCTCTTAGGCCTCTAGTATGTAGGGTTCCTATTTGGGCCTACCGTAACCCTCAGGAACAGGAAAAATTCCCTTGGAATCTGATAACCTTATCCTTAGAGAGAAAGGAATTTCATTAATTATTACTTAGTATCGAGTATTTCCGCGTACCAGAACAAGTTACTAGTCTACCCGGACGCAGGAAGAATCCCACACCCCAAGGCTAAAAATATCCGCGCACGAAAGCGCCTGTTATCCCACGCAGGAATCAATTACTCACAGCAAAACAATGCTAAGAAAAACTTCTCGCATTCTTGACTGATGAAAGGTGAGGAAATTATCCTTATCTCTATATCTTGATCTTCACAGCATAAAGGGAGAGCTGACAACTGGTGTGCTTAAGATAATTCACGACGCAGGGTAGGGATTAGCGCGATTTCCTAAATAACACGAAATTAGTTTCATGTCATGCAAATGCTGTTGTAGCTTTTGTTTCTTCTAGTTCTTCCTGCCCAAATTCGTGAAGTGAAGGGTCGCCGTGGGTGAGAAACGAATCATTGATTACCATTATCGCTTACTTGCACTACTAAAATCGTTATACGAAAATGAAAATGGTTTTGTGGTCCACACATGCTTTCCTACAATATGCAGGGAACCGCTTCAAAAACGCGCAGCTTTCCCGGAAAGCCGCTCATTGTCTGTAGGAGGATCGTGCTTGGCTTTGTGATGAGGGAGGGGTGTCATATTCAGAGAATTAAACAGGTTCTTCATTCCCGCAAGAGGTACTAATACTTACCATTAATTGCGGTTTTTGAGAGAAGTTGCAGGTTTTAGCAAAATTTGGCAAACTTCACAAGGACTTCGGTTTTTCCTGTTCTTGTTCGTATTTTGCTACATAAATTTACCCAAATCTCAAAGGAAAACGCTCTTTCGGGAGAGGTCGGAGACAGGTGTGCTTTCAACAGAACAAAGAGGTGGGAATAGGACCTGGTGGAGGCGAATTGAGCCCCTTAACTGAGGGGTAGGCGTCATTTTAAGGAGACTTCCTCCTGGTTCTCCCTGGCGAAGAACAACGTGGGCTCAATACCAGTGTGGATATGGGAAAATATCATTAAACCTTTTGTAGCAAATAACCAGCAGATCCTCCGACAAAGACAGCAACGATATACAACCTTAACCTTTTCATGTGCCACGCATGAGGATTTCGCCCGGATTTGCATTTCGGCGTTTGTATGCTATTTCACCTACGCACATTCATTTTTTCCTTCTTTTAGTGCCTTTCTCGGGGTAAAGATAGAAGACTCGGTTTCATACTGAAACAGCAAATCAGAGCAATGAGACCAACAATGGAAAAATATATTTATTAGTACTCCACTGTCTATCGTGCTTAATTATCTTAGTATTAGCCCCGCAATAAAATATGATTTTTTCAGAGAGTCAGCAGAGGAGCAGTACCAACAACAAATCGGAGCAGTGACACCACCACCGATCCCTCTGCCGGTTGGTGACAAGCACTTCGATCCAGAAAAGAGCGCCACTCTGAAGTTGATCAAGGTATGTAACGATCAATATCTTAGTTTTTGTGCCACAATCTTTTGAAAAAGAGACTTGAACTTTGAGGCAGTGGCCTGAGCCCATACCTCACTTCAGTCCGTGCCGTTCCGCCACTTTTTTACCACCTTCTGGCACAGTTGCCACGTTCTGCTCATAACCCATTCCAATAGCGATTATCTTCAATTGCTCTTCGCTGTAGTGGTGCTTGTGGTAATAGCTAAAAGAGTGTGTGTCAGGAGATTCAACTGGTCGCGTCGAGAGGAAAAATGTGATTGCGGTCAATTATTGTTAAATGTTATTGGTGATTTTAATGGTGACTTGCATGCTTTTAAAATCGGTGGGAATGGCGGAAAAACTTAAAAAGCTGTGAGCCTGAAAAGCAACGAAAAATTTGCTCAACACACTTCCAAAATCCTCACAAAAGAAGGAAAAAAAGCAATCAGCCAGTTGTAAAGTTTTCCGAGATGGCGCTGTAAAATAAACCTATACAATAAATGGTTAGGCGTGTAATTTCACTTACAATCCTTCTACGCGAAAGTGCTACGGTAGCCTCTGCGTGTTGCCGCAATTAGGATCTTTCGACCCGCATCCAATTGCTGCTGGTCGCCATAAGCAGGATCAAACTCTCGACCATAGCTATGCAATCAGCCAACATTGTTTTACTTCAGGAGGGTAATGAAGGCCACTTCGGTGAGCACTTTTTCGAGCAAATCGCCAATGCCGAAGCGCCAAAGATAATCGACAGAGAGGTAGGAATTTGCTACAAGTATACTTACTTCTTTTTCATACACCTACAGAATACACCTACAAGCAAAAGTTTGTTTGGTCCCCGAATATTTTATTATTCAAAATTTAAAATTTAAAATTAAGAGCGATTGACTAACGAGAGGTGAGAGTGAGTGCCTGCCAACGTAGCAACCCCTACTTTTCAACATGAACGCCAACAGGTTCGGGTACGCAGACTACTCAAAAGTTTTCCTCCATTTCTCTGTCGTAAAAATAGAAGAGCGACTGTCCGACGTACCCTACAGTTAGGTTCAAATTAATGCCAGATAGGAGAATGGTGAGCCAGAGGAATGTAGTCAATTCAAGGAAGTGGGTGAGCCGTTTATACTATGACATAAGTTCGAGCGTGGAAGATCGCTATGTCGTGGATTGCAGTGAAGCATAGAGAGCATAGTCAAGGGTAACGCTTTGACGCGGTTCCAATGACAAGAGCTCAAGTAGCCCGTAGACCTTACCTTACGCGTTATCGGTGTTCAGGCGGTTACCTTTTGTCGGATCGCGAAACCCGCCCTTTTCCACAGACCACGCCCCTGTGCTAGCTCGGATTGATAACTGCAAAATGTTTGCGTTATGTAGTGAATTTCCGAATGTATTGGGCTCAAAACAGGATCAACCGTGCGCTCGCATTCTATTTAAACGAGGAGGTCTCATTTTTGGTTCTGGGAAGTGGGGAGGGGGATTCAGGGGTAGTGGCATTAGTAATTTGTTGAGATTTGCTGAGGCAACGGCGAGGCGATTTAGATTGGTTTTTTGAGGGATTTGGTGGATGTAAATTGGTGCATGGGCGTGAGATACGATAGTGGAGTGAAATTGCCGTTTCTTTAACAAATAACCCCTTCCCCCCTTCTCGCCCCCGCTCGAAGGCGGTTTTGGAGGCGAAAAGTGGATCGGGTTGGGCTGTGTTGAATGGAGGTAAGCAAACCAGCCCTTTTGGCGTTTCTGCTGGGGCCGTATGCTGAATGTTGGGGAGGAGATGGGGTCCCCGAGCTCGACGGACTACTTGAACTCGGTCGGTACGGTAGGAGAGTGATGACGAAGTGGTGCAGCTAGGTCCAGCAGCTCCGCCAAAAGGGCTGGTTTGCTTACTCCAGGACTAAGCCTTCCGAGAGGACGGACCTGCAAGGGAATTCCTCTCTTTAAGGGCTAGAAGTGACGGAGATAGCATCGAATTGAGGCGGTTTTAAAGACCGAGTTGAAGTAGACCGTCGACCGCCGGGGACCTCATTCCCTCCTCAACATTGAGCATACGGCCCCAGCAGAAACGCCAAACGGGCTGGTTTGCTTACTTCTGTTGAATGATTCGAGTGATCTCAGAATCAAACACTATAGAAACAGCCATGATGGCAAGTGTTGTGATCAAGTGAGGGAAAAGGGTGGGAGTAGAAGCCTCCGGAGTCGTGCTGGGGGTTGGACCACGGGAACGAACGTAACGGCTAAAATTTCACAGACTCGGCTATTTACAAGTTTTCCTGTTCCCAATTACCTTTTGGAGGTTCCATTAATTTTTCTTTCCAGCGAATCTCAGTAGGATATTAAATAAAGCTCAAAAAATAGGTTGATTGCCCAAGTGTTTGTTCCTTTGTAAAATTGTTAGCGCCAAATCACGTCAGAGAAAGAGCGGGAAGTTTATCCACATAGTGCAATAAAAATTTTGAATGTTCACATCTGCCAACGCATGAGCCTATCGAGCAACTCAATGATAGTGATGCCACTTACCAACGGATCGATTTTGATCCGGCCTAGCTTAGAACCAAGCATTATTCTTTCTTAAAGATTTTAAATTTCTTAGAGGTGCGAAAATGTTAGCTTTTATGTAATCTAGGACGGAAGGTCATGGAATAAAAGATTGTTCCGAAGGCAGAATTATGTTCCAGAGGGAACCGTCGTGGCACAGAGCACTCAAGGCGCTTCGATGCCATGATATACATCTTTATTTTCGTACATATTTTGCTCATTTCTCAACAAATAGAACTGATTCACCCACTCCCGAGCTTTCTCCCCTGCCAAAAATAGGATTATCGTTGCCGGCACGAATAATTGGGCCACAATGACCCTTCCAAATACAGTTGAGGCGTTCCATGTTTGGCGCATTTCACAGCTGATCTGAAGAATTCTAATCTCGTAATCAGTTCACCGGCTGTATGAGCCATTATTCCTTCAAGGAACCCTCCGCAACTGAATGAGGGCGGGTTATTGCGCCCGGAAAAGGAGAGCAATGGGGCTGATTGGTCAAGCAGTGATGAAAGAAAGCGAAAAAAAATTGTCAAGAACCTTTTAAATCACACGGTGTGCTATAAGTGTAAGCATTGTTTGCGCTCCCCCAAAGCCAAACCCCGGGATTAGCCCGACTTGTAGGAAGGATAAAGTTGTGCGGTTAGGGCGCTAATCCTTACGGCCTGCAACCATCGACCCCCGTTGCAACGCTTCCCACCCACCTCGATATCGGCGTGATCTCTCGCGTGTTTTGTCTTCTTTGACCGCCCTGCCTCGCCATCGTTCCACATCCGACCTTTTTGAAGGTTAAGGCCTTAATTTCAGCGATCCCAAAGATTTCTCTAGCTTTCCTTTCCACTTTCAGGTCGTCCCGCTTCATTACGAAGCGCTCTTATCACCGGTTTTATCCCGGGGCTTGCCTTTAAGATAATCTCGACATCAGTAGTTTTTTCCAAATTTTAACGTATTTTACTATACCGGAGAAATGGCCAATCAATGAGTGTTTCTTAGGGGCGGAGCGCAAACCCCGCCTATGCCATCGTGCGCCATGTGATTTCTAAGGGATCTCTAGCGTTTTATGTTTTCAATTACCATAAACTACGTTTGTTTTCGCCCAATACCCTCACTTCCTCAAACACGAACGAGTCTGCTATCTATGTGTACTGCTTGTTTCAATATTTTGCAATGTTTTACCGTCTTGTAGGAGCCGGAATGGGCCCGCTATGCCCGGCAGAAAAGCGAACGAGCGCGTTCGCGAACGCCAGCCGACCCCAGTCAGCACAGATATACGCCGTCAACGACTCCGATAGATCACCGCTACGATCGACCTCGAGGAGACTCACCTAGAGAGTTCATGGAGAAATCAAGGTCCGGTTTTCTCATGGTTTTTCTGTCTCTAAACGGGACTTGGTTCCAAAATGTATCATGAGTTTGCTTATAGGGGTAAAGAGGCAAATTCATATCTGCAAGAAGCACCTTTCATAGTTCATGAATGGGAGATTTGTGTAATCTGGGCGATGGTTGGATGATTAGGCGAGTACGTGAGGGAATGTTCAGGTGTTCAATCGTGAAATGTTGAACGCCTCGCCCGATCGTCTTAATGGCTAGCTGCCGAACTGTCAATATCGCGAATCGCTGAGATGCTCAGGCTGTGCGAGGTGGGCGGTAGGGGAAGGAGCAGGAGAGCGAAAGTTCCGAATTGTTGTACATGAACGTTATCCTACCGGCACATATTTAGTGCGCTAAAGAAGTCTGTTCTGACCTGTCATGTCTATGTGTTTCTCCGTCTGCCGCGAAATTCGGTACTCTCTGAAGAACCACTTACAGAGTCTGGGTCAAGTTTTGGGTGGGTGGAGCATGAGTCAAGAAGTAAAAACACTATCAGCTGGGGGCACGACTGCAATTGGATCCCCGACGATTTTAGAAGTTCGTTTCGGTTACAGAATGCCGAGGGGAAGTCCGGAAAAATGGTAAAGTGTGCACATGAGTGGATGAGTCGAATAGGAGACGCTGCGGTGGGCAGGGGCGCATCTCTAGATGAGCGAGGCCTAATGAAAAAATCATAGCTTGGTCAGGAGAAAGCCTATGGAGCAGAAAAAAATCGATTTAGGGGGGAAGCAATATCTAAGGGTTTTCGGCGTACCTGGACTGAGTGGAACTCCACCATAGGGAGTCAAGCGTGCCCTCACGTGGGGAATGTTCATTACAAATCCTCATAATTCGGTTTCGTCCCCATTTGAAGCCGTACTTATTGTGAGTAACTGTCGTCCACTAACTGCCTATTTTTAGAACCTATACACACACCACCCATCCGATCTACGGTCCAGCCTACTATCAAACTCAGTCGCATTCTCGTCGTAGAGGGCACAGCGAGCCAAGAGAGTATGTTTGGAACAACGTTCAATATATTAATCAGTAATCCTTTTGACAGCTTTGATTTTCAGAACCCATCCAGGATACGAGTACGGTGGCCTGGACTACACAAAGGGCCTACATTTCCCGGCTGCTCCTTACGACTACAGCTACGAATATCGCACTCGTAGCAGAGATCGCGATCAACCACGTCCACGATCTGGTTATGAGCTAGGTGGACTTGTCTTCGGAAAAGGCCAAGTGGCCCCGGGTCCGTATCACGGCCACGGCCCGGATCCACCACGACTCCGATCGCGCTATTCGGCGGATCCACGATCGCCATGCAACTCGTACTATGCGCCGAATGTGGACGAAGTGGATGCGAACCTCCTTGTCGGTGACACCATTTCTAACCAGAAGATCCGTCACGAGGTCCGCCATATTGACCAGAGCGAGTTTGGCACCAGCTTTGCGCCCCCGACTGGCTTCAAACGCGATCACATCACCGTCAAACGCAGTCCCGTGCCACCGGAGCCGATCACGTTCAGTGTGTCCGCGAACAAAGCTCGCTACGGCTCCTGCTGGAAACGTTTCGTCGGAACGCGAGCAGATGTGGCGGCGACAGGTGCAACAGCAACAGCAGTACCCGATGTCACCGGGAGGCGAGAAAGAGGTGACAGTGAAGACGCTTCTCAATGACGACGTGCTTAGAAAAGTGGATCGCGAGACCACACCCGTATGGCGTGACCGTAGTCTCAGCAAACACGAGGCATGGAAATATCGCTCCGATCCGCGTCTCGATCGACATCAGGTCGTGAACCAGCATCAGCTCTAAGCAATCACAGTGTTTCGCTTACTTGCACACGGGTTAACGGCACTGTAGAAAATCCTGGTTAAACCCTGACATTTGAAGCCCCTGAGCTCACTGACGCTTTTAGCAGCTTTTGTAAAATATGTTGACAACTTACCAAAAAATCTTCAGTATTTGCTTAACGGAGTGAAAAATTGGAATGGATTTTTTACAAAAAAAAACGTTTCTTTTCTGGTAAACAAAAACCTTACTCCCCCCCCCCAAGGCGCTTTCAAGCTACATTTTTCTGCTCTGCTCGCTGCTTTGCTATGCTTATGGCTTATTCGTTTTCATTCCAGATTTTGATTGTTTTGTATCGCACCATGTGCCACAGTAGGCGTTGCTCCGCTAGTGCGGTCGCGTTGCGGTTGATAAGTAAGCCTCCTTCGCGTTGTTTTCTCCGTTGACAATCGTCCCTCTATAAGTGAAAAATCAAACGATATTGGCCTGATGCGTCTTCCACCTTCAAGCAACACCCCCAGCAAAAGTCAGTGCGGAATCTATGGCTGTGTGATAGAAGACCCCACGAGTACCGAGATGTGCCGTTGTTGCGGCTCGAAAAGGCGCGAAAATAGGGTCTTACAAAATGGACTTTTGGGAAGTATTCATGGACGAGCTGAGTCGCGCATCCTCTATGAAATGCAACATGGATTACGGCGTGGCGAGAGTTCAAATACGCGCGGGTTAGTGAGCCGTGGAGCAGGCAAGTTCTACAACTCGTCCGGCCCCGCCCCTTCCTTTTTTCAAAGGGAATCCTTGTTTAGGGCTTCATCGACGGTTTTCTTTGCTTCTTTTTTTCATTTTTAGTCAACTCGGCATCCACAACTCCATTATCGACCGCTGTGACCCCACAAATTTGATCTGGGGGTGTTGCTTTAAGTGAAGACGGTTTTCACTCACAGTCTTATAGTTAGCTTTTTGGGCCTTGAAAAGTAATCGATAAGTATTTGAACCACTACCTAGCAAGATAGTCATAAGAACCATCGTGAAATCGTACGAGCTTGAAGCTCATAAGTTGGATGCTGGGATTACATCAGGGAAGACTTCAACATTGTGGCGCCAAGCATGCCGCTCTTCTCCTATCTATGCTTGGGTTCTGCGCTGGCTCTTACAGGGATAACCTTTACATCAAACGGTGAATGGCTGCTGTAGCACAAAAGAATGGTCCGATCGAATTTGGAGGATCAGGTCTGTCGGCAGCTTTATGATTACTCATTGTTGACCTGTAAGGAGGGCTAATTGTCAAAACGTAAGTGGCTGAGAAAGCAGCAGACAGATCCGATCTTCATTAATCGCTGTCCGTTCTGTGCTATGCTTATGGCCGTTGCTCGATGCGAAGAATATCTTTGTGGATATACAAAACAGTGTCGTTCACCCGGATGCTATCACAGCTTTCCTTTTCTTTCTACCTCACCTCTCTTGCATGCCTCATTCCCTTCGTTCTTTCCTTGGTTCGCGTAATTTTCCATATACTACAATTTTTCCCAAGCTTATCCGTAGGATTTGTTGGTCGATCAATCACGCCTGAGGCCTGAGGTGGACGCAGTATTAACCACCCGTAGCGCTGGCGTGCTGAGGTGATCAAGAAGTGAAACTCTCACTAATCAACACTAACAAAGAAGTCTAGTTCGGGTGTGAAAGCACCTTTTTCAGAAGCGTTTCTGCCATTGTCACAGCAACTCATGAGACGGGCACTTACGATAGTCCGAGGTCTATATTTACGCTGGAGCGGCGCCGTGGAGCAAAAACCAGTTACCCAATAAATGGTCCAGGGTTTAATTCCACGTGGTGACAAGATTTTGCATTTTGAGTTGCATTTTCCAGATTTCCTCCGAATGGCGCCAACGCCATTTGTAGGACCCATCGCTACATTTTCTGCATACGGCATCCAACGCGATGGAAACCACCCTCTCCAAGCAATTTTCGATCCTTTTCTGGTCTTCAGGGCCACTCAACTAACAGAGTATGGGAGCGAATAAGAAGAAAGAGGAAGCAGGGTATTGCTAAAAAGCCCTTGAAAGAAACACAGGCTCGCGGCTGAATTTGAAGATTCTACCACAGAGCCACCGCGTGACATTTTTGGGCTATGTGTCACTAAAAAAGGCGTATGCTTCCTTAAAGTTGGGAATGCCCTAGTGACAGTGACGCTTCGCTCGCCCCTATGTCCTCTCCCAATCTGCAACTCATACATTCTCGCTCAGCGTCTCTCGTCGCACAACCTCATTCGTATGGGTCTTGAACCGGGACCCAATAGCATAGTTGATGTGAACCGTTCGCTGGCCCGTCTCCTTTTTAGGCCGATGTCAGACTTTGCGAATCGCGCGATTCGCTAGCGTCTGCGGTCGCGTCGCGGCCAGTGAATCACTCAATTGGCTGGTACCGCAACGCGACCGCGGACGCTAGCGAATCGCGCGATTCGCAAAGTCTGACATCGGCCTTGGGGTCAGCATCGCAGCACTGCTTTCACTATCGACTGCAATAAACGCAGCTCGACAATGTTCCTTTGGATGTTGAATGTTCCTTTGGGGGTGACTCCCTTCTCCAGTTTTGTGATGTCATTTGCTTCCTAAGCCAGCATGATCTATGATGTTTCTGTAAGCTGCCATGATGACTGTTGAGCATGCAGCAAATTTGGTTGTTTAGTAAAATAACTGCCCAGTGGTCGCGATCCACTTTCAGTAGAAGAGTGTTTTGGAGCTATTTATGAGTTTTAGAGCTATTGCCCTTTTACTATGAATATTCAGCCGTACTATGATTATCCTCACCTGGCACCGCGTGACGTGAGTTTTCAAGCTTTAGCGTAGGGAACTTGAAGGTGAAAGTACTTAGAAACAGAACTCTTTAGAAACCACTTCTGAAGAGTATCACTCCAAAAAAAGGCTAGACAGAATATGCTCTATAAATCATCACTCATCTCATATTCCTTACAAATTTGGATTTTTATACACTGTCCTCTAGCATTAACGCAACCATCAGTGAGGCTTCTGCCATTCGCACCTGCCGAGTTGCCTACTCACCAGTTGGTAGCTTAGTGATCCTCCTTAGGCCGATGTCAGACTTTGCGAATCGCGCGATTCGCTAGCGTCTGCGGTCGCGTCGCGGCCAGTGAATCACTCAATTGGCTGGTACCGCAACGCGACCGCGGACGCTAGCGAATCGCGCGATTCGCAAAGTCTGACATCGGCCTAATATTGCAGAAATTATATCATCAAAGTCAACCTCTGGAATATTCCGGTACAACAAGGTGAGAAGCATACTGAGTATAAACGTCGACACCATCCCACGGATAAGTCTCAAATTATGGGAATTTTCTGGTCCATACCGAGATCAGAACGTCCACCTATTTGGTCGACAGAAGGTGATGGTGTACGCAAGCGTCGTGACCAGCCACGGAAGCTGCAGTTCAAGGCATCACGGTGAAGTGAAGACTTTCAAAAGTTTAGAACACTTCTAACCACAGACGAGTGCGTGGCGCATCCCAGAGCAGGAGCAAATTAGTTATTGCAAACCACATCACATTTCAGGGAGTATAAGCAGAAAGCGGTGCAATACAAGTGGGATGGGCACGCCGTATTTTTTGAGTACGGTGAGCGCGAAATGTACGTGGGGACTACGCCCGTTGCTAGGTGTAGCGAACAGAAATGTATGTAAGTGGGACTGCTGCCCGCTACTATACTGTCACGAGAATCGGGGAATTCGTGAGCCAGGGGGAGTGTAGCCAATCTAGGGGGTGGGGGGGGGGTGAGGGCAGTCACTTGACATGCGTGAAAAGCTGGACGTGCCCACCCACTTGTATAGAGCCGAAGTTAATTTTATTCATCACAAGGAGGGAAGAGGGTTCGAAGCAGACTCAACCCCTATGAAAAGAATGAAGGATTAAAGCATTTGCCGTTGATCAATCCCTTTTGGGATGCGGCACGCATTCTACTTCCATTTGTACATTCGTAGTGGCGTTTGAATGCGATGTGGCCTATACAATGACTTGCGGGGGCCAGCCGATGTACAAGTCAGTGTTTTTATCCTCCCAGACAAGTCTGGTACCAATTAACCGACCCCGGAGGGATGGAAGGCTTGGTTGGCCCGGGCGACTCACGACCCAGGATTTGATCCCGGACCGCTCGCGTGGTAAGCGCGCCACTTGCCACTACACCACCTAACCTCAACCGAT